TCAACATTAATGGGCCAGAATGCTCCTCAGCCGGCTCTTTTAAAACTCATCAGTACAAGTTAGCTGGAGCTGCTGATTTAAAAATGTCTAGTTTTAGTCACTGCTATTTAACATCCTCCTTATAATCTACATATAGCTTCTTGTGCCTAAGAGGGGAAAGGAGGAGCCAGTTTGACTCCTAAAGAGGGATTTTTGTGTAGCAACTACTCATGTCATTGAGGATTAATGCATGGCTTCTCCATCAAAGGGCATTGCTAATAATGTAGATGGATGCAACATGTATGTATTACAATAATAATCTGTCCATCTATAGTCCTTTTCATCCAGAGACTTCAAAATGTTTTACCAACTGAAATTCCCAGCCTGGTGGACCTTTCCCATTTTACAGATAAGCAAACTGAAGCCCAAGGAGTAAGTAATAGAACTGGGACAAGCACCAGGAGTTCTGTCTCCCATTCTTTTCCTCTAACCACCAGAGCGTGCCGTGCTCCTTTTCTTGCCATGCATACACAACGTTCTTTTACCCCCTTCTCCTTCCCCCACCAGGCTACTAAAGGAAAATATGTGCCAGAATTTTTGCTGGTGCTAGCTTCGCTGACTACAAACATTGCTATTACAGATTCTCAGCTTGATCCATTAACTCTATCTTGGATCTAAGAGCTAACTCCAAAACATTCTCTGGAGGGTGTGCTGTCTGACGTGCTGTCTTTTATTAATCTGATAACCTGTTGATTGAACCTGGGATCCCCAATTTGCGCTGCTTCTGCTGTCTCCTGCTTAGCTGGAATCCAGACTGATTCTGTGAGGTTCATTCAATGATTGTTTATTGACACAGTGCAGAGACCGGCTCCTCTCCCAGAAGAAATTGTTCTGTACACTGACTTCTGTAACCCTTTGCTGTTTTGGTAGATGCCTCCAAGGAATTTCCTGTCTGGGAATAAACCCACCCAGGGTGTCTGGAATTCCTTTAGGAGTCCTGCATGGGACCAGGGTGTGAATCTTTCCCAGGGCAGGCAAAATATAGGCATCATCAAGTTATGCTCCGCAACCACTGCTTCTCCACTATGTCTCCACCAGGAGAGACTGATTTAAATCAAAGCAATTTTAAACAGCTGATTTTAATAATTATTTAAACAGCATGGAGGAAACATGGATTTAAATCATTTTATTTAGTTTGATTCTCGTTGGCTGGTAACCATGGAATCATGTTGATTTCCTACTAAAGATATTCTTTTGCCTAAATTTGGGGCTGCTTTTTGCTTACCAGGACAATACACTATATCTTTATACATATTTATTTAAGCAATTATATACATGTATTCAGACTTGTAATTTTCATTTTAAGTTAGAAATGGTTGCTGATGCATTTCTTACTTACTAAATGAGATTTAAAAAAAACACAACTCATGATTTGCATCAAGCTAAATGAGATTTAAAAAAAAACACAACTCATGATTTGCATCAAGCTGTTTGGAGGGAAATTGTAATTTTAAATACAGAAAATATTTTAATTTTTAAAAATAAATTAAACCCTAAATGTGCTGGTTACAAAAGAAAAAATTAATTAAAACATCTTCCGCATGAAAACTAAATGACTTATTCAACAAAGGAAGTGTTATCTGTAGCTAGTGAATTGACCTGTTTCTTTATGATCACCATGTCCTTCAAGTTTTTAAAACTATTCGATCTCATGCCCTCATACCTCACTTTTATTCATAAATTGGGAGAGGAAAACAAAGTTTTCTAATGCTTCAACTTCCACTTGATTTCTTGACTTTGAATGAACTAGTTATTCAGCTGAACAAGTTGAATAAACGAAAATGAAGAAAATATTCTCTCCACATCTTCAGATAAGGCAATTGCTGTCAAAAGCTGGTTTTGCACTTCAGCAAACTGTGGTTCCAGGGGCTAAGACAGGGACTTCTACCAGCTCAGTGGTTTGACTTTTGCCTAGAAGTTTGTCAGCAAACGTGGACTGCCTAATTTTAATTTTTAAAGTTTAATTTACATGATTTTTAATAGATCATTGCAAGTTCACCCCATAACATAGGTTGTCCTAATTTCAAAACAAAATTGAACTTAAATTAAATTAAACAATCCGATTTTATTATTATTTTTTATCATCTGTTTTTTATCCGCGCTGGCCTCAGTCTGGACCTGAAGAGACCCAATTCTTGGGGTGAGAAACCAGCAGACCCCGCCTCTTTCTGGACAATCCTGAGCTTCTACAAAGAACGCTGGTTAGAGTCAGCTGTTGTGATGGTTTTGTGTTTTGGGCAGACCCTGCCTCTTTCTGGACAATCCTGAGCGTCTACAAAGAACGCTGGTTAGAATCAGCTGTTGTGATGGTTTTGTGTTTTGCCTCCCTGGGAACTACGCTGAGACCCACCAAACCAAAGTAACTTTCACAAAAGACATTAGAAATGCATTATTTCTCATTGGCTAAATGTAGATACATCTGCAAGAGCGATGAATTGGAAGCAGGTCAGTGAGCACAAAACCCAGCCATGGATAAAGTCCTCACTAGGATCAATTTAGAAAGTTCCCAGAGGGTGGAAGGCAACCAGAGAGGAACAGAGCACTGCTGGAACACTCAGAGAAGTGAGAATATGGGCCCGATTTTGAGACGTGCTAAGTCTCCGCTCCCACTGAACTCGATGGGCATCCAGTAGGGTTCCCTCTAAGCTGCGTGGCAACACAACCCCACAGCTGATTAATCAGCCCTGCCCAGTCACCCATAGCTGATTAATCAGCCCTGCCCAGTCAGAGGCTCAGGAGCTGACTGACAGGGTGGGGCTGATTAATCACCTGTGAAGCTGCGCTGCCACCCAGCTTAGCGGGAACACTGGTGTCCAGGAGTCAGGATCTTACAAGAGTCAACCTGTGCCAAACAGGTGTATGGGGTTGTCTCCAAAGGGGAGCCGTTGCTGGCAACTTCCCCTGTCGCTTGCTGCCTCCATGTGGGGTTATCAGCAGATCTCTCCCAAGGACAGAACTGCAAACAGTAGTCAGGCTTGTATAATGATGAGAGCAAATCTGGCCATCGCTCTACAGCTCTGATCCACAACCGATTCCTCCCTGCACAGCCCGTCAGCAGTGTGAGTTATCTCTGCTCCCCGACAGCATTCTTACAAAGTCACAACCCGGAGCCGACATAATTCATATGGGTCCAATTAAAGGCTGGTTGTTCTTAGTCCTCAAATAACCCATCTAACATTCTGAACTCATTATCTTTTCCAACAAAGCCAAAGCCTTGTAGAGGATTGTTTTTATGATCAGTAGTGGCATAATTGTGGAGGAACCAGCTCTCAGAGTTGGACCCAGCCCTTCATCTCTGGCATTTAATTTTCCTCTGTTTTCAGCAAGACATTTTAGCAGTGAATTGATCTGCCCCCAGGGACTGGAGCCCCCTCTGTTCATCCGTGCTGCAGCAAAGGCAGCTACAGCACAAGCCTTCCCCACATGCTGCTGTGTCTGTGGGTGGCGTTGCGCTTCTTTTGAAAGGCCGAAAGGAGAGTTGAGTCTCCATGGTTTACAGAGTCCTTCAGCTCCTTTCCTAACGCTGCTCTGGAGGAGACCAGTCACTCATGGCAGGTCTGATTCTCCTCTCCCTTATGCTGATTTTACAGCAGTCTAGCTCCGCTGGACCAGCTCTTCGATGGCTGTAAATCAGCGTTGCTCTGCTGACGTCACACTCAGAGGAACTGGTTCATGGACTTCAGTGAAGTGATTCCTGATGCACAAGGGTACCAGTGAGCTCAGAATCCTTTTTGTGTGTGTGCAGGATGCTGTCTGTTGGCATTTGGCTTGGGACCCAACAATCCCATTTTGCAGAGAGCACGGCGCGGCCGTCGGATGACAATGAGCTCCAGCTAGGGTGGATTTCAGATGGCACCTGAGAAGCTGAATGTCTGGGTCCCAGCTCTGATTCCTTGACCTGGATGGATTGGCTGCTTTTTGATGTCCAGCATCCTCATCACTGGTGTGGAGCAGCACTGGAGAGCAACCACAAATCAGTCTTTGGGTTGATATATCAGTGTGTGTCAAGAGAAACAGAAGGGAAGTATAAACAGACTGGTTTAAACAGCAAAAAGATTTCAGAGACTCTGAGCTGGTGCAATGCAGGAGCATCCAGGCTGCAACTGGAATCGGTGTGAGCTAGAATTTTCTGCCTGGTGTTGACATGGGGCATGTCCACGAAAAGAATTATTTGCTCATCCCTGCACTGGAGACAGACCTGCTCTGATGGCTCATTCCTCTGGGGTAGCATCTGTAGAAACCAGTCTCTGCAGATGCTTTTTTTAGCATTTAAAATGTGGGCATGGATTTTGTGCTGGTAAGAAGAGTATCAAGAAGGACAGTCCTCAAGTCCTCTGTGTATCCACAGAACATATACAGCATAGGACTGGGCTTTAGGACTCCTGAGTTTTATCTCCGATCGCTTTAGTAATTCTTTTCCCTTGGGGGAAAAAAAATCACTTTATCTGCCCTCTTGAGCCTCAGTTTCCCCAGCTGTACCACGGGGATAATGTTACACCTCCTCATTTAGAAGCACGTCACAGGTGCCTCGTGGCACAATGTATGGGGTGAGTGTGGGAAATAAGTCAGTTACCCCATGGCACGAATGACCTATGTCACAGGTGCCTCATGGCACAACGTATGGGGTGAGTGTGGGAAATAAGTCAGTTACCCCATGGCACGAATGACCTAGGTCATCAGATTTTGACTACCTTTTCTAGCCCCTGAAATTGGGGGGACCCAAAGAAATGTACAGGCTTTGAATGAGCTCTCTGCACCTAACCCGATTGCCGTCTCTTCTCCTGCTTCTTCAGGGAAGTCCTATGACATCACCAGTTACCCCATGGCACGAATGACCTAGGTCATCAGATTTTGACTACCTTTTCTAGCCCCTGAAATTGGGGGGACCCAAAGAAATGTACAGGCTTTGAATGAGCTCTCTGCACCTAACCCGATTGCCGTCTCTTCTCCTGCTTCTTCAGGGAAGTCCTATGACATCACCTATGTGCGGCTGAAGTTTCACACAAGCCGGCCAGAGAGCTTTGCTATTTACAAACGTGGCCAGCTGGACGGGCCCTGGATCCCATACCAGTACTACAGCGCCTCCTGTGGGAAGACCTATAGGAAGCAAGAGCGGCAGTACCTGCAGCCTGGTGAGGATGAGCAGGTGGCCTTCTGCACCGAGGAGTTCAGTGACATCTCTCCGCTGAGTGGTGGGAATGTAGCCTTCTCCACCCTGGAAGGCCGGCCCAGTGCCTACAGCTTCGACAAGAGCCCTGTGCTACAGGTACTGGTGGCTCGGGGTTGGAGGTGGCCATGTGAAGAGTGAGGGGGGATTTGATAGCAGCCTTCAACTTCCTTAAGGGAGGTTCCAAAAAGGATGGAAAGAGGCTGTTTTCAGTGGTGACAGATGGCAGAACAAGCAGCAATGGTCTCAAGTTACAGTGGGGGAGGTCTAGGTTAGATATTAGGAAAAAGCTATTTCACTAGGAGGGTGGTGAAGCACTGGAATGGGTTCCCTAGGGAGGGGGTGGAATCTCCATCCCTAGAGGTTTTTAAGTCGGCTTGACAAAGCCCTGGCTGGGATGGTTTAGTTGGGGTTGGTCCTGCTTTGGACATGGGGCTTAGTGGAGAGGATACACACAATATACTGGCAGCTGAATGTCCCTTTCAGCTCCTGTCCGTTCTCTTGTGTCTTGGATGCAAAAGGGTTTAACTAACGTTACTGTTCCAGTCTCTGACTTTATACCATCTGACTCTGTGGTAGCTCTCTCAGTGAATCTTCTGACTGGATCCCTTGGAGAGATGATCTTTCACAAATGTCAGATCTTCCGCTCCTGCTCTGTGCAGAGGGCAGAGGACTTTTACAAAGAGGCTGCAGGGAGAGTAGAGAGGCAAAAAAAGTTTTCTCTTCAGAGTGACCTCTGCTGGTGTTACCCTCGTGCCTTGAAAAGAAAGGGCTACTCAACTTTGGAAGCTGTGGGGGCCACAGTGATACTCACAGCACGTGCCAAGGGCCGCAACTTAAGTGTGGCTGCATATACATGCAAATATATATGTAAATATATGTAAATAGCTTCTTTCACACTGACAGGCATGAGTACAAAGATTAAGGCAAGACTACAAAACACTCAGGCCCCATGTAAGTCAGTTCTGTTGATATTAATAAAATGCAATATTTACCCGATTTCTACCCATATGACAGCACTTTTAATGAGCAATGACAGACCAAGAATTTAACTACTAAAACACATATCAACAGAAGATGATTATATTGACTCGCCATTGTGGAGTGTATTCCCAGTGGAGGCCATGTTCAAAGGATCCCACCTGTGGGCCATGTGTTGAGCCCCGTGTAAACCCAAACCGCACCCCGGGCCACAAACAAACAGGCCGCGTGTTGAGTAGCCCTGACATAGAGCAAGGTCCTCATCACGCTCATTTTCCCAGGAGAAAGGAGGAAAGTTGTTCTCCTTAAACCAGTCAAAAACCAGCCACTACCAGCTATGACCCAAAGTAGACCTGGACCAAAATCCTAGATCCAAACAGACTTGGAGGCATTTGGTTGCTAATTTTATCTAATCTTGCCATTATTCCTTAGGTCACCTCTCACTGTGGTATCTGAGCTCCTTCCAGCTCCACAGGTGAAATCAGGCTCAAACCCAAACTTCCCCAAACATTGGCTATTTTGAAATCAGGATCCAGTGTTAGGCTTTGGGGGCCCCTCACCACTGCTAGCTAAACAGGGAGAACATTTCAGGGGCCCTCTCCACATGGGAGGGCATGGTGCTGATGGAGGGAAGCCTAGTTCATGCCATACCTGGACTGCATGATTTCAGACGTGCCCATGCCAAAGCAACATGAGGGTGTGATGAATTAAGGGGCAGACTTAGCACTATACACACATGGTAATTTCCCAGGATGGGTGTGGTGGCTCTGTTGTGTCCTCCATGGCCTCTTGTCAAGGGGCTGCTGCCCCTGTCCCCCTAGGGGGATGTCTTTGCTTGAACTGCTCACCAGCATCTCTCTTGTGGCCTGAACTCCTCAGGAGTGGGTGACCAGCACTGACCTGCTCATCTCCTTGAACCGGCTTAACACGTTCGGGGACGACATCTTCAAGGATTCCAAGGTGCTGCAGTCGTACTATTACGCCATCTCAGACTTCGCAGTCGGTGGCAGGTAAGGGGCGGGGCATGGGGAGAAGAGGAGGAGGTGAAAGGAAGGTTAAGGCATAGGAGGGGGAGTCAGGACTCCTGGATCTTGCCTCCAGCTCTGACACTTGTTGTGTGAGTGGGTCAAGCCACTTAATCTTCCTGTTCCTCAGTTTCCCTATTTGTGATGATGATTCAGAGGGAGGCGGTGAGGCTTAAAGGCCCTTTGAAAGCGTTAGAGGAGAGACACTAACACTCTAGCTCATTTGTGATGATGATTCGGAGGGAGGTGGTGAGACTTAAAGGCCCTTTGAAAGCCTTAGAGGAGAGACACTAACACTCTAGCTCTTCCTGTTTAAGCAGCATAATCCCTATTTTGCACATGGCAGTTATAGTGGCTCACACTCTAGATAGGAGTCCGCAATGTAACACTGTTCCAAAAAAGTGCTCATCATTCTGGGCTGTATCAGCTGGGGCGTAGTAAACATGACACAAGACGTAATTATTCCACTCCATTCTGCACTGATAAGGCCTCTGCTGAAGTATCGGGTCCAGTTCCAGGCAACATGCTTCAGGAAAGATTGGAGAAAGTCCTGAGGAGAGCAGCAAAAATGGTTAAAAGGCCTCAAACACATGACCTGTGAGGATTGTTTTGTTTGGAGAAGAGAAGGCTGAGGAGGCACAAGAGTCTTCAAATACATAAAGAGGAGAGTGATAAATTGTTCTCCTTATCTGCTGAGAACTGGACAAGAAGTAATGGCCTGAAATTGCAGCAAGGGAGATTTTGGTTAGAAATAGGAAAATCTTCCCGTCAGGGTAAATAAGCACAGGTTGAGCTAACACCTGTGAGGGAGGGTTTGAATAATACTCAGTGTTGCCTCTGCCAGGGACTGAACTAGCTGACCTATTGAGGCCCTTTCCAGGCCTACGTTTCTAGGATTATATTTGCCATCTTGCTTCACAATCCCTCCAAAAACCCCCTCCTGGCCCATGAATCTCAATGGAGTTAGAAAGCGTGTCGCTCTTTCTCTTCCCAAAGTTCCCCTGTCGCAGCTCCCAGGTGCTGGGGCTGCAGGAATGTTCCTGTTATCAGGTGAAAGAGGAATGTCAGGCTGCAGCAGGCAGGGACTCAGGGGAAATGGAGCTGCAGTAAACAGGCCCTGGCAGGGGAACCGGCTGTGGAAGACTGCTCATGCGTGGAACAGGCTTTGTCCTGCTTGCATGTGGCGCACAGTTCGTATTCAACACGTTGAGCATTTACATGGACCGCGCAATTGGATCAGGGAGCTGAAGGCTGCCAATCAGGATCTGAAACCGACTGTGGGAGAAATGAACCCTGGGCTCTCGTGCGACACGCTTCGCACAATGAGCGCCAAACAAAGCCCTGTTTGGGGATGAGCAAACCAGCTGTAACACATGACTTGCCCAAACACAGTGTCTGTGCTAGCTGAGCCCTCCAACTCCCACGTGCCCTGGACTGGGGCCAGCTTTCTTCCTGTGAAGCGCACGGGGCGTGTGAATGTGGGATGCAGGGCCCTGTGGTCCAGACAGTCTGTGAGGTTTGGGGCTCAGCCAGGGAGGGGTCTCCAGCTGTGCGTAGGCAAGATGCTTAGGAAGATCCCCAGCCCCTCCCCTTCCCCAGCTAGGAGGACCCTCGCTTTTGTCCCCGTGTCCTTCAGCCACCTCCTGCCCCTTGCTGCTTCCCAGCTGCTCCCTCAGACCAAAACTGAGACCGGTCTCCTCAGGCGGTCGGGTTGTGGGTGGGGAGGAACTGGCGCAGGGAAGAGCTGCCAGCAGCCAAGGTCAGGTAAGTGGGATGCACTGCCAGCAGCCAAGGTCAGATAAGTGGGATGCAAAGATCATGGCTGACTGTGGGGAGGGGAGGCTGCGCCTCTCTGGGACTGAGGGAGACGGCCAAGGATTAAGATTCTGGCCTAATGGGTTCAATTCTGACCAGCTTAAAACCAGGCGCTTGGGCCTGGGGTCGCCATGTCTGACAGGAAGGACAGGATGGGGTTACAGCTGCTGCAGGGATCTGATTTATCTGAGTCCTTCCTCTTTTTTGATCTGCTATTGCCAGCCCAGCTTTGTCTTTCTGGCGCCCGGCAGAGTACTCGGCTTCTGGAGGACAAATGGGGCAAGGCCTGCGGTGCCTGCGAACAACCGTCGTGGGTCTCCACACTCCCTATGAAGCAGGGCGCGCTCTTCCCCTTCCCCCACCCAGAGCAAGCCTGTGCCTCCCGTGTCTCCCTGCTCCCATCCGAAGCCCATGGTCACGCGTCTCAGTCACCCAGCGAGAGCTATTCCCCACCCTCCAGAGTAGAGAGGGAGACCAGGGCCCTGCCAGGAGCACAGAGTGACTTGATCTGGCACGCCAGACCCAAACAGCTGGAACGCATTAGCGTCTGATCAGGCCACCCTCCCTCTGAATGACCTCACAGCTGGTGCTGGTGGGGTGCACCTGAAAGACTCGGGGGAGGGGATGGGTGGCCTTGAGATGGGTCCAGTCTGCACTGCTTTCCCTCCTCCTCCTGGTCAGGTGACGTCTGTTTGGTCCATGCCCTGGTGCTCGCCTGGTGACTGAAACTTTAGGCACATCCCCAGATGCTGATTGGATGCGACAGTGCACTTGACCTGCCGGTTCGGCCTGCTCTGTGCTAGCGAGGGTAGAACCAGGCCCTTGTGTGCTGTAGGCAGCCAGCAATGTTCCTGCTAAACTGCGTGGCAGCACAGCCCCGCAGCTGGTTAATCAGCCCCGCCCAGTCAGAGGCTCAGGGTCCCTGCTTATAGCTGACTGAGCGGGGCTGATTAATCAGCTGTGGGGCTGTGCAGCAGCACAGCTTAGCGGGAACACTGGTAGCCATCCTAGCAGAGCTACAGGGAGCTGGGCTCAGCTGGATGTACCTGTGTGCCCCGAGCCCAGTCTGCTTACCAGGGCCCTAAAGCAGTGCCCTTTTTGGCTGGAGCTAGAGACTGTCCCCACCCAATCCCCTCCCATCATGCTTTACTTGTGCCCAGACATGGTGCTCTCATCTTCCTCTTAACCCTTTCTGTGCTGGTTGCTCTGGCCCTGCTGTGCTCCCTTCATGTCCCTGGGACCCTCCTCTTGATCCTGACCACCTGTGCCCTAGCAATGTTCTCCCCTGTGGGTGACTCCCCTCCCAGTGTGTTGTCTCCTCCCAGTGACCCTCTGGAGCTGTGAGGCAGGGCTGGGGAGCTGGGAGTCTGCTGGAGGGTCTGGTGACAACGACAGATTTTTGGCCGGCACTGTATGCTGGCAAAGTAGGACACTCGAGAGCTGCGTGGGGCCAGGACCACAGGGTTAGACACTTAGCACCACTCCCAACCTGGACCAAATCCTGGGGTGAGCCCCGCATTGTGGATTCCCTGTAGTCCCTGAGTGCTGGGGATGGCTCTGTTGAGCGCGCTGTTCATGCTAGTTAACACTCCTCGGGCTCAGCCCGACCCTGGCGGCGACAGTCCCTTGGCTCTCTTGCAGGTGTAAGTGCAACGGCCATGCCAATGAGTGTGCCCCCAATGAAGAGGGCCAGCTGGTCTGCCTCTGCCAGCACAACACCACCGGCGTGGACTGCGAGCGATGCCAGGCTTTCCACCAGGACCGGCCGTGGGCGCGAGGCACCGCCGAGTCCGCCAACGAGTGTCTCCGTGAGTATCCGACGCTGGGACCCTGCAGGCGCTCCCAGGACACAGGCTGGTCTCATGCCTGACTCTGCCAGGCAGGGACTCCCTTCTTCTCTGCATCCGGGGAGCCTGGTCCCTGTGGGGTGTCTGTTTGAATCCAGCCCTGGTGGGCAGTGGCTGCAAGCTGCTAATGTCTGATGCTGGGGAAGTCAGCCCAGGGTCTGGTTTCTGACCCAAGACAGTGGCATCAGGAAGAGACAGCTCCTTCCTCTTGCCAGACAGCTCCTGCCGCTGCGGAAAGAGATGCCCACGCTGCACCCAGCGGGCAGGGGTCCCCCGCCTCTTACATCAGCCCTTCTCTGCGGGCCTACCTACGTTTTATGTGTTCCATCCAGTTAAGATGATAAGCGTCAGGGGGAGGGGTCTACACTCCTGTGTGTAGCACGGCTCTGAGCCCCCAACAAATCACGAGGTCAGCTCAGAGGCAAGAGCACCGCCTGCCGTCAGAGACAGGCACACGGACGATTGTCAGACAGGCACACGAACCATTCAGTGCACTCAGGACCTGGGCACTGAAAGGGAAGCTGGCAGGGGCGAATCTGAGGACTAGCACAGCTGAATGTGGCCTTTCACAGGGAATCCCCATCACACCCCAGAAGCAGGAAGAGGGCTGTATTTCCATCCTAGGCTCTTGTCTCTGTTCTGTGCTTAGCCCCTAGCACAAAGGAGCCCTGAGCCATAACTGGGGATCCTGGGGCACCCAGATTTCCATCCATACAGAATAATAATAGTGGTCCAGTGGGGTAACCTCATCCTTTTACTGCAGAAGCCCTGGGCTGGAACCCAGCAGCGGTTCCCGGTGCTTTGGGTTGTCTGAGCTCAGTCCCTCCGTCTCTGTGTCTGTTGCGGCCCCGTGATGTTCTCTCTCTTCCCTCCTCTTCCTCCTCCCCGTCCCAGCATGCAACTGCAGCGGCCGATCGGTCGAGTGCTTCTATGACCGGGAGCTGTACCGGAGCACGGGGCATGGCGGCCATTGCCTGAACTGCCAGGATAACACCGACGGGCCGCACTGCGAGCGCTGCCGGCAGAACTACTACCGGTGGGACGGGCAGTCGGCATGCCAGCCGTGCAACTGCAACCTGGCGGGTACGGTGTGGGCAGCAACACGGCCAGGGGGAGGAAACATGGAGGCACTGGTGCAGGTGATGCCATGTCGGCAATGCTGTGACCTTGGCCTGTGTCTCTGGGCAGGTCTCTGCTGGAGAGTTGCTAGAGATCCAGTTATGCTGGCCAACAAAGTGCCTTTGTGGGTGCAGCTAATAACTGGTTCCCGGAGCGAAATGAGTTCTGGTGTGAGACTAGCTTCCGACCCCAGCTCACCCGTCTATGAGCTCTTGGTCCCGACACACTCAGCTTGGGGTCTGCGCTCCAGAGTAGGAAACAGAGGAGCCAGGCTCCCCCCAAGTGCAGGGGATAAGAGGGTCTGCATTGGGGAGTCGTGTGGTAGAGCTATACCAGCCAAACTGGTTGGGACCAGACCTCTTAAAAAACCACAGTCGTAAATGTTCAATCACGTCC